GGGGGAAGACAAGAAAACCCAAAAAGGTCAGAGATGTATCTAGGCAAATAAAGAGTTCTGAAATAATTCTCAGAAACTATCTGGAGAAAGAACTTTGTACAAGATAAGATGCATCAAACAAAAGGTCACTGCAAAGACGAAAAGGGCAGCTTTCCCAGAAGCTGAAAGAAGTTACGCTTTGGTACTCTTTCCATTGTCTCAGTCTTTTCAGTACTAAAGTATATAATAAGCCAAACACAATGCTCTTTGAAATTACCTTCTGAGGAGGACATAAAAGCCTTGCCTGCCCTTAATACCAACAACGTGACTCAAGTCAGTAACAGTACCGTGGACTCCCACACAAGTCCTTTAGTGAACTGAGACGTAGTGCTGAAAGCATCACCCTTACCTCACTGCCGCGATGCAGGATATAATCTCTGCAAGAGAATCAGAAGAAATTCCTGCCTAAGCCTCAGCTATTCCAGCTCATATATCCAGTGTTTCAGTGCAGGTGCACCTTTACTGTAACTTCTTAAATTTCTGCAAATAGATTCACTGAAGAGTGATCTATCAGGGATACAATACAGACAGTTTCTCATCGTTCCATTCTGGTTTGTGGTAGGAAAACCAGAATTATGAATTCTTGCTATCGTGTCCCCACAAAACTTATTCAAGATAGGTTTACAAATGCTTGTCACATTGGGAAAAATCTTAGAAACACTACCAGAACATCTGTATCTGCATTTGGAAGCTTATTTGTTAAAAAACAAAAACAAAAACCCAAACAAACAAAAAAACCCAAACCCAAACCAAAAACCCCCAAAATCCCAACCACCAAATTCCAGGAAATAAGTTTGTGGTTCATGAGTAGCACAGAAAAATTAAAGGCTCTGTAAAGTTATATTTCTTTTTATCCTAAGAACATAAGTCTCGGTTTGTAATCCTAAACTTCAGTCTTTCAAAATTCATTTAAATAGTATGTTTGAGCTCCACCAAACTTATGCAAAGTTAAAATTTTCACTGTATGTTTATTCTCAGTGACCAGGATTATTTTCTTCCCAAGAGCTGCTAATTCTGAGCATTACTATTCCAACTGACAAAAAGCCCCCAAAGAATCCTGGTGATAGGCCACGTTAGACTACTTTCGATAAACTAGCAGGAGCAATTGGTTAGGAACAGAAAAAAGCAATAGAAAAGATTATTTCAGAACAACAACATAAAATTGGGTTTTAAATAAAAAATAGGTGAATACTTGTATTTGTCCACTTTCTTTTTTCTAAATGCATTGTTAAACCTAAATTTGTTTGAAGAATTTATCTTATCAATCCATGTGTCTATCTCAGAAGGTGTCACTATTCAATGATATTAGATGCTTTGGAGAGAAGTTTAGTCGTAACGATGGGATTAGACAACTCTTTTCACAGTCATTGCAATGACACCTGCATTCACTTCCTTCATATACCAGACTCAAAGTCAGAAGCCAATTCTCAGTTTGCAATCCAGAACATGTTCTGCTGGGTATTTACAGCTAACCATTGAAATCCCTGAAACCTGTCAATGATGTCAAACAGGACAGAAATAGATCATCTTGCTTGTTTTTCCTAAATAAACTTGCATTCATAAAGGAAATAGGAACAGAAACCTTGAAGAAAAAGATTCTCTTTTATCACATCCACTATGAAAGCACTAAACCACAACTTTTCTTGGAAGAACCACAAGTAAAGGAATCATGTTTGTGTGTCTGTGGTTTATCTCTCCACTTACATTGTCAGCAACAGAACCAAGTTTTTGTTTTTGTTAAAAATGAGAAACACATTGCTACCAGCAGGATTGATAGGGAGGTTCATCACACAATTTCACATGCCACTAAGTAGAAGAATGATGTTTGTAAATGTCAGTCCCTAATACCACATGCAGGAGCTCAAATCTAATCACCACAAATGTGCATTACTTCTACGTTACCTTACAGTAAACCGCTTACCAGATGGTTTGCAGAACCAAACCAGGAGCAGAATCGAAACGAGGAAACTATTTTCAGCCTTATTCTTTATTACTGAAAATTTTATTGACTGATAAAAATAAGGATAGGCATCAGATTTAGTAGGAAGCTGCGTTCAGAAAGCATCCTAAAAACTGAGCTGTGTGTGTTCAGAGAGAGTGACAGGCAAAAACTTGTTTCAGGAGATCTCAAGTCTAAGTAATTCTTCTATGTTGCATGTTTTTCAAGCAACACTGTTCATACTCTACAGAGTAATTTTTCTGATCTCCAACTCAGCAACAAAATAAGAAGCAGAACATTAACTAGGAATGAATAAAATAAGAATACTTACGCTGACCCCACCGGCCAGTTCTTGGATTCAAATAATTTGGATAAAGTCCATTAGGACGATCCATTTTTTGAAGTAACTTCCGAATGTGCATGACCTAAATTAAATCAAGAATCAGGATCACCACTTAACAATGTTCATCTGCTCTCTGCATATAGTTAAATCTATATTTTTTTTTCCCCAGTAGTAAATTTTCTTAATCTGAACCCAGAAGCTTTCCTGAGGGCTTCCTGCAGATTATTAAGTTTTTGTTCTGAAGCACTGCTCACATAAACATGTTTAAAAATTATGTTTTTTAAATGTATGCTGAAATAAATAAGAAAATCTGTGTTGTCATAAATTTCTACTTGAAAAAGTCACCTATTCGGTAACAGAAATACAAGTATGAAAAACTTACCTGCTACCGAGAATGCAAATAGAATTCAACATAGAAAGTACTTCCCCTTTAACACAATTTATGATGACACAGTATAAAAGACACTTGTATGCTAAAAAAATTCAATTTGAGACCCACCTTGTTGTAGTATACAGGGTCCCCTGTCAAATAGCTGAGGTGGACAAATTCCATGTGCAGAGTACCAAACTCAGCGAGGATGCTGCTGCCAGCAGAAGCCCAGCCCCAGTTTCGACCCACACCACTGAATTCCAACAAATATGCATAAAAAAGGGAGAAAACAACAAAAAAATCAGAATTATTGTGCACAGCACTAGTAACAACCACCACGGCAAATTAAACAAATAACAGCAAAATATTAACCCATACTTAAGACTACAGGAGTTGTGATTTGATTGATCAGTTGGTTCACTGGATGGGTCTTTTTGGAAAAAAGATACCATAACCCCATCAACAAAAAGTCCTGTGATTAAAAGATATAACACTTTGATGTCACAGAAATATAATGACTTAACAGTGGGCCCAGTCTCAATTGTTGTTTATTCATTGTATGTTCCTAAGAACAAGAATTGAAAGCAATTATTGGAAGAGACGAATATACTTCTGAAGGTGGCAGCATTCGCATCCTTGTTCTGCCAAACATCTGCTGTGGTCCCTTTACTTGTGTGGGATGTGCTTCACATCAGTATTAGACGCTCCAGCAGGATGGGAGTGGGCCCTATCTGTATCTACATAGGAAAACAGTGTGTTTACTCTAGGTAGAATATTATGAGTTACTCAGGCTCACATAAAGAATCACCAGAAGGTATCATATACTTTGTTATCTTTTGCACTCTAAGAGATACCATCTTGCTAAGTCGTAACTTCTAAATTACCTCTGGTTTAAACTAATTTGGGAGTTTTCACCATCTTTCTGCATCAGGTCTTTTAATTTCTGAAGTTAACTACATTTTCCTGGAGATTACTTCTACTTTCTCTCATAAAAGATTGCAGTTATCAGTAAGATTGCAACCAATTAGGAATGTCTTCTTACTTACTTTTTAAATTACAAATTAGAAAGAGGAAACATAAACGAAAAATGTTGGTTATGGAGCAGTATTTGTAGCTCTGACCGGAGACAGAACAGCACCTTTTAAAATACAGTAACCACTGTTTACAGAGCATAGAGACACAGAATCATAGCTTGTCTCAGGAGTTTTTCGGTACAACTCTAATAAAAAGAGAAAATTAAGTGTTTCATTATGAATACAAAAGCTAATAAAACAGAAGTCGGTAACTTTCCAAATATTTCTTTTAGGTCTTGTCTTTTATTGCATGTCAGCCTCACAATAAGTGTTCTCCTATACACCTGCTACCATCACTGCCCTCTGGCATGCCAGTGACTCTTTTCTCCTGTGATGCTAGCTGGTTCTGTACATCACCGAGAGACTGACATAGTAAATGCATAAACAATACCAGCACGCAGGAAATTTCTAGCACCCCAATCCTTTCCCCTCTGCCTACCGCAAATCCTCCTCCCTGGTCCCGCCTTTCTGACTGCACTATGGTACCAGACCTACGCAGTCAGCCTCCGTGTGTTACTGATAAGCGTCCACGCCTCTACTGCTTGCAGCTTCTTAAACCTCGCTGCCTATGTCGCCTGAGCCAGTGAACCAGACGCCTCTGCTGCCTGAGGAGTATGGCCACCTGGGCCCTTCAAATATACTGGAATCACTGTGCAGGCTTGGGCTAAACAAAGCAAAAATAAAAAACTAACTTATGCACAGAGGAATTTCAAGCCCTCTGAAACTGCAGAAAGAAAACAAGTCTGAATAAACCATAATGCTGTGCAGAAAGTGCATAGGGAAATTTAACCCAACAACATTAATTGTACAGAGGTCCAATAAACGACCTTAGAAGGTAAAGTGTAGCACAAGCAAAGCGGAGAAAACCAGGCAAGGATGACGAGGCCCTGCGCCAACAGAAGGGCAAACCACAGCTCCACAGCCTTCACCCGAGGAGTGACAGCAAAGTGAGGATGCTTTCCTGATCGCAAAAAGGCACTTAACGCTAATGCTCGCAAAGTAGTCCTAAACCTCTTTACAGTCTAACAAAGCACAAAAAATATCTCGCCTACATGGAAAATAATTTAAAACAATTCAAAAACTCTCTGCTATTTACTATCCTGATTTGCTTAAGTGTACACACAATCTAGACACAGATCCCAATTCAGCTACTGTTTAAGAACACAACAAAAACTTTAAAAATGCCTTGCATTAAAAACGCTCTCTCAAAATCTGAGGTAAGTCCCAGCATTGAACAAGCAATACAAGATAAATTAGGGATGGCAATTCTCTTCCACAAGGCAATGTGGGCCACGTAAGTTCAATGTCTGACCTGAACAGTCATCTAAAGGAGCCTCTCCATCTCCACGGACCATGGCAGACTTCAGCACACTAACCTTTTTACCTAATCTGAACCATAAAATGAATTAATACCTTCAGAGTCCCATCACCTTCTCAAACATTGTGAGTCTTCTGAAGGTAACATACAGCTCACACAGTACATAAACCCCAGTAAGTTCAACCATAGCCTGCGAACTATTTTGGTGTTTTATAGGTTCTTTAATGACTAAACCAATGATTAAGCTCTAGGGCTACATATAGCATAATACACTGGGTATGTTTCAATAGCATGTTGAATTCCTATTGCAGAATCGGAAGAAAAAAATCATGGTCACAATTTATTGTTTATTAATAAGGTAGAACCCTCTGAATTCTATTAAAATTATTCTAAAGTGCCAGGA